TTTGGCTCTGTGGAATATTAAAAGTATTCAAAACTGACAGGTGATTTTGAAGAATTTCTTCCTTAGAAAGAGAAGTATGAGTATCAGTAGGATTACCACTTGTAGAATTAAATCCAAGTTCTTCTAGAATGCAATTTATATAATGAGCCTTACAAACGAAGACAATGTTGTTACCTGCTTTGTCGGCAGGAACCAGTACATACTGATCGTGTAATCTATCTAATTCTTTTTTCACTTCTGGTTTGTTGAACACAGAAGGATAGATGGTTTTTATTTTGCCCCTCAATCTTTTAATACGTGACTTTAACATGGATCTGATACATTTAATCCATTCTGACAAGGTGTCAACGTCTTCTTTTTCATATCTGGCCCATCTTCTGGCGTAATTTTCAACAGAATCCATAATATTTATGAAATTCCGACGCCAGTTGAAGGATCGGGGTTCCCTATGATACAAACAAACTTTTGTCAAAGAATTTGAAAATAACAACTTGGGCCATGTTTATGGGGGCCGATTGTAGTTTTCATTGCGCAACATTTCGCGCACCATAGTAAAATGAAGCATATTTACTGTTTTTGAGCATTTTTTTCGCTCAATTAATAAAATTAAACAAAATTTATAAAAAAAAAGTTTAAGAATGTAATCAAAATTCTATAAAACTGATTTTTAACGATTTTGCAATTGATAGGTCAATTGACGTCGTTACAGTGTCTTTTTGACGTTAATGTAAACTAAAACGTTTAAAGAAACGGTTAATAAAATGTTATTTAAGAAAAAGTAATAAAGATACGCTTTTGAAATTAAAAACATAGAAATCTGAGAATTTCTCCATTAATTTCAGTATGTTTTCCTATAAATCCTTTGTGCCCATCATATTTTGTAGTACTCTATAAAAACAGGAAAATTCGTTAATTTTTGGCATTTTTAGATGCCCCCTCTGGTAACAAGCTTAAGACGGTAGAGTGTTTTATTTCTTACATATAATGTACAATACAGTAATACTCATAAAATATTTTAGTTTGAACAAAAAGTATATTTTAGTATTTGTATAATTTGCTTTAAAGTGATAAAATTGGCATTTTCCTATATAATCCTTTGGTATATTGTACCTGTATTTGAGACGGTCCCTTTAATAATAACTGGACAGTAGATTTTCCCCAAACTGTGCATGTGCATTGAAGTTAATGTAAATTATTCATGGTATAAAAATGAAGAGTTTCGCTATTTTAGTTTTCACACTATGAAATCATAGTGCCCCCCCCCCTAAATGAGTAATATGAATAACTTTCACTGCGTAGTTTTTAATTTCTTATTCAAATTTGCAAAAACATGGAATCTAAAGTGAAAAAATATTTGTGTAGATTAATAAAGATGGTTTTAGAAGAGCAGGTCTTTGAACAACACAGACGTTTGCAATTTCTCTATAGGAGTCTAGAAATCTATTATATGCATCGATTGCGATAAAATTAAGCCCAAAAATATATACCAATCCAGGAATTTTCTTTTTGTATCATCTGTCCTTAAATATGAATCAAACCATTGTATTGCTTTGGGGTCAAAATTGTAGCAACGTTGCTGTCTAACAATTCTTATGTTGGACCAGCAGGCCAGTCAACAGTGAAATTGTTAGTCCAATGTAATAAACATTTTGATTAGTACTTAATATATAGAAAGCTGTTCATTAGAGTATAGCAAAAAATGTATTAAAAAGCTATGTATTCCCGATACTTTGATTACGGGGGCATACAAAAACCAGAACCAAAACTTATTTTATGGGGGGTGATAATGCTTCATATATATACTTAAATTTCCATACCAACTTTCTATACCAACCATGCGCAGACAAGCTGTAATCCTTCCACTTTCCTGCTGAAGGAATTGGTTATATATGACTACAAATTATCAAGCCGTCGGACTACCGGGCAGTCGGACTATCGGACCTTCGGACTACTGGGCTGTCGGACTATCGGACCGTCGGACTACTAGGCTGTCGGACTATCGGACCGTCGGAATACTGGGCGGTCACCTGTCGAAATACAGAAAAAGGAGAGGCCGCGAAAAGCAGAATTATCCAACTGACGGGAAATAAGAGTGTAGTGTTTCGACATCTTGATGTGAGTTTGATGTCATCTGTCAGGTCGTTTGCGGATATCGTCAGAAAGGAAGAGAAAGGTGTAGACATCCTTATCAACAATGCTGCAGTAGTAAGTAAGTGCTTTTAATGTGTGCAAATTTAGAGTACATGTATATATCAGAAACTCAGTATGAGATTCTTTGTTCAAGTCATGGTCAGACACATCAATTCCAGTGTCAGACTGTGTCAGACACTTCTTCATTTTTTTTTCTAATAAATTACGGTAGATAAAAAATATTGTGAGTTTTTTCAACCATCTTATTTGAATTATAGATTGGAATGAAGTTGTTACACCTGAGGGACTGGAAGAAACATTTGCAACAAATTACTATGGACCATTTCTTTTATCAAAACTTCTTATTGGTAAAAAGTAATTCTATATTTCACTTATTTGCATGTACTAAAATTTTTAAATAGGAAAATGTTTAAATTGCATCCTAATTTCTAAACATTTTATTTATTACATTATTTGTAGACATGCTGGAGAAATCTTCAGAGGGACGGATAGTGAACGTGGGCTCCATTGCCAGTTTGGGGGGATCAGTGGATGGGGACACAGTGTGGGTCCATAAGGGGTTCACTAGGGGGGATACAATGATTCTAAACTTGCCCTGCTGTTGTTTACAAAGGAACTTGCCAGAAGAACAGCACATACAAGTATGCTTGATGTATTAATGTTTACATTTATGAAAGTTCAATTATGATATGAAACTAAATGTGCACTAAGACGTGCTGAAAGAAAAGCATCAGGGAAGAAGAATTTTTATTTAATTGAACAAAATTTTGTTATACCTGTTATGTTCATAATACTTTTTTAGATTGCTTATGGATTAATTATAAGCATGCTTACTGTAACTCTGCTTTACTGTAAATGGAAATACAGTAACAAGGTCAAATCAAGAAGAGTTACTTACATCACTTGTGCAATCTCATATTAATGTGTTTGTGCTTAAAACTGCGTATATGCATTTACAAGTTGAGAAAGTTGATGTTGTTGTTGTTTTATTTTTTTTATTTACAGATATACTAGTAAGCTATGTTCATCCTGGTACAGTCACCAGTGAACTGTTCAGAAATCTACCTTGGATTTTACAGTTCATCATAACGTTTGTTATGAGACCATTTTTAAAGGTACATGATTTTGATACTCCTTACAACTTTCTCAAAAGATATCATCAGTTGTTAAAGATATCACTCTTGACATTATTAAATCGCTAAAATTACTTCTCACTAAAAATATATACCCGGTAGAAATTGTTTGAGATAAATTGCTAATTTTGCATCTTGCCAAAATTTTCATATCGTATATGCATGTTTAATATTTTTTTATTTTTCAACAAATAAATTTCCTGACACTAATTTTAACTTCAGACCCCATTGGAGGGTGCTCAATCCATCCTGTTCTGTGCACTGGATGATGCAATACAAACTGGGGGCTACTATATGGACTGTAGTTTGTATGACCACTCTAAGTGGGTCCCGAATTCTGCTTATGATAAAGAACTTAGCAAGAAACTCTGGCGGACCACGGAGAGAATTATTACAGAGATTGATTCTGGATGATTCATTTGATGTGATGAAAAGATTATTAAATACCAGTACTTGTCATAACACAATACAGACTGTGATATATAGTAAAGTAAAATTCGTTTAGTGCAAACACAGATATTGAATTTATGGATATAGTGCAGTTATCTTTGATCCCCAGCCATATAAATTAATAGAATTCCTTATACTGATATAATGACTTACGGATATTGCGAAGCAATTTCAGTTTCAAGCAATTTCGAAGCAAGTCCCACTGACTTCGATATAACTGAGTTTTACTGTATACTAGTAATAACATGTAAAGCGATAGTTAGCTTGAGATATTGGGCACTTGTTTTAGCTTACAAGTATTGAAAAACTGCAGTATTTTTAATATCTTTTTTTTCATTTCAAATCCTAGAAGAAGAGATCGTTGTGATGGTTTTTAAATAATTTAAATCTTTGGATCCCTTTTGTGACATTTATTAATCAATTTAATTAATCTAGCCTACATAGATAAATCTTCTTAACATTTTGACAGATTAAGGTCTTCTTTTGTCCTCTTTAACTCTTATTTTGAATGATTTTAAGCATAAATGGCATAAATGTATAGCCAACTAGGGCAACACTTGTATGAATAAGAAAAGTGAGCTCATCTAAGTTTTATGACCCCCAGGGCAGGTCTGAAGACCATTAACTGAGAACAAACTTAGTCAAGTCAGTTTTTAGTTTACCTCAACAAAGTGAGAGAGCTTATTTGATACCATCTGCATTGGTGTCCTAGGTTAAAGTTTTTGGTGCAGTTTTCTTTTGTACTATTATGCCCTACATTAATCAGAGATGCAGAGATACCAGTCAAGGTTTCAGATGCTGCAATTTCAGCAAAGGAATGACCAGGTTAATGCTTTTGAAGCAGGTTAAAATTTTTGGTGCAGGTCTCATTTCCAAGCCAGTAACTATAAGCCCTATGTTGACCAAACTTGCATGGATGATACGTCTGAGTATGCACACTACCAGGCTTGCTTTGAGTGATTGATTTGACCTACATTTTCCAGATGAGTGAACAGGTTTAAGTTTTTGGTGCAGATTCATTCTAAAGTACCAGTACCAGTATTTATAAGCCTGCAGTGAATCCCTAAGGATTATTTATATTGCCTGCTAAAAAAGATTCAGCGTTCAATCTTTGTCTATCATTATTTTGAGCCAACAGACCTTTGTACCGATAAAGGAGATTAGAAAAAGTTAAATCACAGAAATTTATTTGCAATTAAGTTCAAAACTTTGCATTTGTAACACTGTAAATAAATAAACTTCTTGTTTTATTCATAACTACAATATTCTGTGTAAAATAAGATGAACAGGGTAAAAACTAAACTTAAATTACACAGGCACTTAATGTTACATATTTTGTTATGTAAAAAAAATTTTTTAAACAAATTAAATGATCTCTACTTAATAAGTAGAGTAGGCCTATTTTTTATCTTAGAAAAATACATGTATGTTATGTCAAATGCCTGATAAGTGTTTTAAATTGTATACCTACTTAAAAAAAAATAAACAACCATAAAAAATATTTAATGGTTAGGCCATTAAAAGGATTATATGCTTGATTTTCTTTCCTTTTTAGCACAGTAAAATTGGAATTGTTTATACAAGTATTCAAATGGCAGTTTAGGTTATTGGTAAATATCAACAAGTTGTATTTTCGTATCAACAATAAAATAAAACAATGTATTGTAAAATCACAATATGCTTTATCTGTTTATCAATCATAGGAGTCATTTACTAATACTAATTTCAATTTGGTGCTGAACAGTAGACAGAGTATTGTTTGATATGAACCTAGAGAAGTAATTATCAAAGGTTTAATCTCCGTTTTGCGCAGTTTTTGCCTTAATATACCCATTTCTCCTTCTTTTGATAGAACTCTGTATAATATTGTATTGTATCTCCAATTGTATAGTTAAGGTTCGACTTTTCACTTTAAAAACCGTCATTATTAGTGATCATGTGATATTGCCAGTCCTCTCTCTGCAGAATTCTGCAGTTCTTTATCCGTCTTTTTATCTCTAAGCCTCCCTTTCTTTGAACATTGTGCTGAACTGCCCTTGGATGTAGACTCAGGAGAGGTTTTATCTTTGCCGTCCCCTGCATGTGCTGACCTGGCTGTGTCATTATTTTCTAACACTAACTACAGGAATCTGATATTAACATTTGTTCACATTGGTTGTATGCCTTTTCATCTTTTTTAGAACACTGACGTTTGTAATTTTGAGATCCACTTCTCACCTCACTAGAATCATGTCTTTTTCTGACTTGTGGTCGATTTTCTGTCTCCCATTGATCAGAAGATCTATCATTCCTTGATTTATATTGTCCACCCCTCTGATTTCTATAGGATCCACCACCCTGATAGTGTCCATGATGCCTGTTCTGTCTGGAGTGATAATCAAACCTTTCATCATTGTAGCCATTCCTATAACCCTGCCTGAAATAATTATCTTGAGGAGGGTGCTGATGCCCATTGTTTTGATGTTGGTGATATCTCGGACCATTGTATCTCCAGTCTTTATTGTGATAATTTTGTCTCCCTCCATCCCTGTTTTGATATCTGTAATCTCTCCTACCATTTTGATATCTCCTGTCATCCCAGTGTTGTTGGTCTCCATGATAATGATCCATGTGACCTTTGTCTCTTCTCCATTCCAGTTCCTGATGCTGTTGAGGCCAAGTTTGATCACCATACATTTCATGTGAGTCTTGATGCTGGTTATTTTGATGGTGACTATTGTGAGGAAAGTCCTTTTCATGGTTTCTTTGCCTGCCATTATGGTGTCGTTCACGTCTCCAACCCTGTGTAATTTTTCTCATGGGAAGCTTGTCTCTACCTTCATACTTGTATTCATGGTTTCTATAAAGAAAAAATAAAAGCTCTTACACTGAATGCTGTAGTATAGATAGTATTTAAAATTAGCTTTGAAACAGTCTCTGAAACTCATTTCGTCTCTTGGCATACAAAAATCTAAGCATTGTGCCAGACTTATTTAGATCTACATATCTAACAAAGTAAAACCATTAATGGCACCTTATGTCATATCATTATGTTTGTATTCATTTATTCACTTACAGTTGTCTGTTTCTTAAGTCTTCAATGTAGTTTTCTCTTTCTACTGGGTACCCTCTTGCTTCATGGTAAACTATAGTAATTATATAGATACCGGTATATATATGTTCAGGTACATAAAACTTGAATACAACATTCTGTCCATTACTGTTTGTTTCCTTTTACTTACTTTACTTACAAAGGACATAAAATTAAGACTACCAGTACTATTTTATTCACAAATTCATGATGTTCCTAAACACCATTAACAAGTATTGAAAATTAAATTGTAACTAACAGTAGATTACAAGGGATACCATGGATAGTTCCTTCCACCCATATCAATCTTTACAATAAAGTCAAAAAAAATGTCAATGATTGAAGAACATTCCTGTGGCAGTTGATAATTATAATATAAAATTTTTTGCTTTAAATAATTTGAAATAAGTATTAAACTGTGTAGCAAAAATAAATAATAACTAATGCTATGATTTTTTTTTTTGTTTCTAGCATAAAACAAAATAGTCATACTCATACCTTCTGGTTAAGCCAGTAATAAAAACTAGGGATGTCAACGAGTACCCGGTTAACCGGGTACTCGATTGAACGTCCGGTAATCGAATACTAAATCTTGTACTTGGTTACTCGGATGTATATTTTTTTCTTATTCCAAAGTACATATATTTATCAAAAAAACTTATCAAAAATTATACGATAATAAGAGTACCGTCGCCTACACCTGTAAAACACCCGTTATCGCCTGTGGCTGTATATACAACTAACTAGTGACCAATTACCGTATATACTCGCCTATAAGTCGGTTGTATTTAATAAGCTTGTATATCAGATGGACTGACCTCATATAAAACCATACTTTGATAGCTCGCCTATAAGTCGGATAAAGAGTTTTAGACCAGAGATGAACTCCCAAAAAACCGACTTATAGGCGAGTATATACGGTACCCGCTTTTCTATCCTTTTGCAAGCCTTAATTTTTGAATGGCTTCAATAGTTTGTTTTCGTTCTGTTCTGGTTTCTTTAAATCATTTTTAAATTATTTAGTAAACGGTACCGAAATCTGACTTGCATAGGAATGCCTCTACCGACTTAAAATTGTAAAGAAAATAATATTTTTTGTAATACATGTAATTGAAGAGACTATAATTAATGTTTAAAGTCAGCTATGCGGAGTAAATTTAGCGTATACGGGGGACACAGTAATACAACACAACAAGGGATCCAAACAATGGCCCTTCCTACTGTTTCTTTAATGTGATCATTACGTAGCAGATTGATTAAATCGTCTTCCCAAAGAAAAAATGTAAATCATTTGTAATTTTTGGTGTATGAAATTGATGTCTTTCGTGTGTGTTATTTTTTTAGATAAATAAATTAAGTACAATAAATCATTTTTCATTGGACTCGATGTTTATAAACATGCACTAAAAACGTCATAAAAACAACATTGAGGTTTAATAATACTGATTGTAAGAAAATTAACAGACTTGTACAAGTATTTACAATTTTACTGAGTACCCGGGTACTCGATCGGAAAAAACGTCCGAGTAACCGATTATCAAATATTGACCGATTTGACATCCCTAATAAAAACTCACAGCTTATTTTCAGAACTTTTGTCTAATGAATCTAGTGACAGGGCAATACTCAATTCAAAATACATGATATGTACATGGAAATCTACCTATTACATGTTCCTCTATACCTGTCATAGCTTTGTCTGGTTCAAACCCGAGTCTCTCGATCATGTATCTACAGACCACGTAACCTGTCCTGTTAACTCCGTGTGTACAATGTACGCCTACCAGCTGATCTGTAACAGTCAACACAATACTCAGTTACATTTAAAATCATATTCAATATAATAACCCTTACACTAATGTATACATTTCAAAAGTAATTATTAGAATAAGTTAGACTTGTAGATGTTAGACCTTTCTTTCTGTAAGCATAAAAAAAATTTCAATTTCATTATTGAGGTAAATGTTTGTACTTCTGAGGGAATTTTAAAATACTTATGCAGATTTGTGCTATATGCAGAAAATTTTACTCTTGTTAAGTACTTACCATTATCTTTATTTGTCTCATAAAAGCTTTCAAGTGTATCAAAAAACCTGAAAATTAAATTTTAACAAAAATTTAAACTTACCGGTATATTTAAGTGCAAGGATAATTGGAATATTTACTGTTAATATTCAGCCTTAAGATCTTTTCATTTAATTATAATACTTAATAACAGACAATTATTGTAGCATTTTGTGTATTAATTATACCCGCACTTTCTAAAGAAAGTTC